GCGCGAATTAAAAATTAAAGTATATGCAATTTACTTTAATTTACTTTTCTAAATGAATAGAGTTATAAGATAGAAAATATCACTGTTGTTATCTTCAAGATATTTGAAAATTGAATCGTTTATAGCAAAATTTAAAACAATGGCTAGCTTTTAACCAATCAGAAAATTCCATTTCGACTTTCACTGATATCGCTGGAACGGTTTATCGCACGGGATAAAAAGTATCCTATGTCCTTCTCCTGGCTCTAAACTACCTCCCTGCCAATTTTCAGCTAAATCGGTTCAGCCGTTCTTGAGTTATAAGTGAAGTAACTAACACGACTTTCTTTTATATATATAGATACCACAAATATTTCAAAGATAAATATAATGATAATTTAGAGAAAATTTTGAAAAAAGAATGACAGTAACTGTAAAGTATCACCTTTTTCTTCACTTTCTAGACGACTTGTAGAATGAGGAAGAGGGACTGGGCTTTGTCTCATCCGATTTCGCTCTTTTCTAAAATATTCTGCTTCCCTTTCTCTACTCTCAGCTTCCTCTCTTTCAATGTACCTCTCACGCTCACGATACATTTCCATCTCCCGCTGGCGTATCAGGTTGCTTTCCTTTGCATTTTCTTCTTCAGTATTATACCTAGAGAAAAAAAAGATTAAAACATGGCTAGAATTAAAACAAGATTGGAACAAAACACGAAAAAAATTTTTTTTAATGAATAGAAGAAATACAAGCTGGAAATCTATTATTATGAAGTAACAAGAATAATTTTTCTAATTACTTTCCCTACTTATAAGAAAGCAATACAAATATTTAACTGATATTACATGCGTTAAAATTTATTAACAAGCAATAATTAAGTTATATTTAATAGTAAAAATGCAACACAAAAATGCTTTAAATTTAATTACTGAAGAACTAAATGAGTATGTCTGGAAATCAGAAAAAGAAAAACTTGAAACTTTTCAAAATAGATGCTTAAAAATAATACTAAAAATCGTTTAGCCCAATAGTATAACAAATAAAGACCTTTTAACAATTGCTAATATCCCATCTGTTAATGAAGAAATTTCAAAATGAAGATAGAGATGGCTTGGCCATATACTAAGAACAGATAGAAACCAACCTGCAAATGTTGCAAGCTCATGGGCACCTGACGGAAAGAGAAAAAGAGGGAGACTGAGACTAATAGAGCAGGACAAACTGGATGGGAAGAAGCGAGTTGCCAAAGAAGAAAAAGACTCGAGCCCTTATGTGCCAGTTCGGCATGAAGAGGATAAGTAAGTAAATTAGTATGTCTATAAGCAAAGAAAAAATTAATTTGTTTATAAATAATAAAAAAATAATAAAAATGAAATAAAATTCATAACTGTTAGAAAAAAGGTAACTAAAAACTACTAGTTATTAAAAAATATCAATTGAAATCAATTGTTTTAAAAAGCTCTCTGTAATTCTGCAGCATTAGCAAAAAATCTGTAAGAAATCTAAAGTGTAGGCATAGAAAAATTTTAAATAAAATAAAAAGTTGCATACCAGATTTAAAATAACAATTATTAATGACTTACCTGCTAGAATTATAAGAGGAATTGTTAGAAGCTGATCTTTGAGAAATCAATTCGGGAGGATATTGATTTGAAGGATAGTGAGGAGCTCGGGAATGGGACATAATGTTAGTGTTTGGAGGTGGGTAGGGCATTGTAGAAGGTCGTAGCAAGCCATAACGTTCCATGTAAACAGGATCATCTAACCTACTAAAGATGTTACTTCATTATGAAGGGATTCAAACATGCTCAGAATATAAAAATTAATTTTTAAAAAATGCAATGGAGTAGGCAGCAAATTTTATGGTAGGATGATTTTGTGTATGTTCTATTTAGCTTTTTAGTGTAATACATAAGCAGACTTAAATAAATTTTAAAAAAACTTTCTAGAAACACAAAATCTTACTTAAAAATAAAAACTTTCTGCAAATAATTTATGGACTCTTGTAACTGGTTTCAAACCTCTCGTCACTACCTAATTCTGTCAAAATTAGTTCAAAAATCACTGTTTTTCTTACAAGTGTTTTAATTTTTATAAAACTCTATATTGATTACTATACATACCAGCATATATTTCTTTAAATTAAGCAGTTTTGTCAGAAATAGAAGTTATGTTATAAATGAATCTGCAGGATTAAAAATCTATGGCAAATAATTTGCATCAACACCTTTTTTTCTTTCTGTCTTTTTTTAATTTTTTTTTTATTGAAACTTTGGTTCTTTTGTAAACAGTCAGCTGAGATTGAATGTTTTCTAATTTTTCAAAAACTTATTTACATGTTCAAGAATAAGACCAGTTATTTCAAAATAAAATAGATTAACAGTATAATTGAGACTTACAAAAGTAAAACTAAATAAGCATCATGTGGATACTTTTAATCTAAGTAAAAACAGCTTCTGTAACAGAAGTTGTTTGTGATTTGTCAAATTGTGATTTGTCAAATTGTGATTTGATGTACTCTAATTAGCTAATCATGAAAATAACAAAATTGGATTTTTTAGATTTCAATAAACAATTTTGCATGCTTTTGTAAAATATCAAACAATAATAATATACTCTGTTGCAAGTTACAGAAAGAATTACAGTATAAGATTCATATAATCATTTATGGAAAGATTATCAAGCGTTTTATAAATGGTTAATTTATGTTTGGATAATGGTGGTAAAAAACTGATTTTTTGAGAATTAAAACACAGAAATATATTAATCCTGGAATAAAAAATTACCTATATGATTGTGGTTGCATACGAGAAGACTGCACTAAAGAAGGATGGTGATAGGAATATCCACTCATTGTGCTAGGAGGAGGTGATGCATTATACATATGAGGTGGAGTGGGATGTCGTTCATCGGAATTCCTATAGGGTTGGAAGCCTCGAGATGAGTTGTTTTCTTGACGAATACTATAAAAAAAGATTAGTAAAAAAAAAAAACATTAGTAAAAGAATGAGAGATTTCACATAAATTTGAAAATAAAATCCTTTATAATATTTTTTGTATATTTCAAAAAAGTACAAATTGAAAAATGTCCTAAGTTTCTAAGCATTCAAATTACTATATTTACATGAGAAATTTACTTGGAAAACAAGTAAAGATTTTCAATTTTCATAACGAATTATTGAAGACACATTTTTAGGGTTACAGAACCTGGATGTATTGAGGGAAAAAACTAAGTATTCAGAGGGAGTATAATTTTGTGTTTGACTCTATAATTTATATAAAATTAGCTTTAACTGATTAGTATATTACCTCACGAATCATTTAGATTGTATTGTAGTACACGAAACTCTTGTCATTAACAAAAATTATTCAGTGTTTTTTCATTCCTTACTTATTCATCTGTACAATAAAAACAACAGATTGTACTACAAATACAATGGTGGCTGAGTGTGAAATATGTGAACATGATGATGAAAAAGATATTCACAATAGTACACTATTTATAAATAATTTCTTGACACCATAATAATGATTTATAATTTTGCAGAAATTAATGAAGAATATATGGTAGCAAATGAAACTAAAAATTAAAACAAATTTAAAAGGATCTGTTCAGTCAACAAAAGCCATTACTTAATTTACAAATAAAGAATTAAAATCCAACACATGAGATCAATAGCTCAATGTAATTAAAGCAGATAGATAAGCTACAGGATCCTCATGCAGCTGTTTGGAAATTAAATTTCTAAATAAAACTGCACTTACTTATGGGGCATAGTAGGAGGGGGAACATGCTTTACACTCATCATCTCATTTCTTTTGTCATTATTGCTAGAAGATATCATTTTGGAACTTTCCACTTTCATGCTGACAGGCTCAATTATACCACCATTTCGACTGCTGCTCACATAACGGCCTAAATCCAAAGCCTAATGAAACACACAGAAAATTATTAAAATATTCATACTTTTTTTAATTTTTGTAAAACAGGTTTAATTGGAACAGAATTTCATACAAATTTAACATTTCTGAATATAGTTAAGTTTTGGATAATTTGGTACAGATAGGGTCCCAAGTTATTAGTCCCCCCCAGGCCCCACCATACCTAAATCAAATCCTGTAAGCATGGTCTTTTTTTAAAAAACAAAAAAATAATAATGTTTCAATAAAAAAGAAGTTCCACTTAAGTCTCCAGTGACTGTAGAATTGGGAAATTTCAAAGAATTTTTCACCAAATGGCACCTATTTGACACTACCTTCCTTTGTTGGTTTTTTGATATATTTCAGAAGTTACTTTTTTTCTAAAGATGTCATTCTTTGCATCATACTATGATGTGAAAGCCTTTTCTAGTTAAAAATGCATGACATCAAGATTTATGACTCATTTTTTTCTGTGAAACAGTAATCAATGGAATAGGTGAACTATGCACAGGTGGGCTTGGATTGAGGCTGTTCATGTATATTTTTGTCTTATAGGTCATGTCTTAGAGGGTAATGTTAATGTTTCAATGAAAAAAAGTTCCAAAGAACAAAAGCCACAGGGCGAGACCCCTAAAGTTACTACAGAATTGGAAGATTTCAGGTATTTCTTCACTAAATGGAGTTTTATTTTACACTAATAACATTTATTTTTTATTTTATGTAGATACTTTGTGTTACGTCTGTAAAAACTTGCAGTATTCTATGATTTGGAAACATGTTCTAGTTAAAAGTGCATGACAACAAGATTTATGACTTGCCTTTCCCTGTGAAACATTAACCATTGGAGTAGGTGACCCATGTCCAGGTGGATTTGGATTGTGACTGTTCATGTATATTGGCATTGATGAATGATGTCTACTCTGGTTGGAATGCTGACTGGAAGCAGGAGATGAAGCTGGAGATATAGGAGACAGTTCCTTCTCTGTAAAAAATAAAAAGGTACAGAAATCAATAATATTTTTAAAAAAATATTAGTTTGATATCAAAAGATAAATATTGATAAGAAAAATTGTTTCATTAATAAGAAAATTAATTTTAAAATATAAAAAGAAAAATCATGATATTCACAAATAGTTCATAAAGATAGGAGAAAGATAATACAGTACATATATTCTTTACAAAAAAAAACTAAGCATTTAATGCTAACTTCCAAACAGATTAGGGTAAAACATAGTTACTTTATCATACACTATATATATATATATATATATATATATATTTGTANATAAATACAGTCAGACCTCGATATAAGGTCATCCTAAGGGACGTCGCAAAAGTGACCTTATAAGCAGGGTGACCTTTTAACCGATTCATTGGCAGTTTGTAAATAAGCACGTAAATAGTACACATTATGACTTTTTAAAAATGGTATTACAAACGAAAACGATAAATTAAATATTTAAGTCAATAAATTTTAACAGAATTAGTAAAGAATTAAAGAAAGTTAGATTTAAAAAAAAAATGTATTTAAAATAAAGCAAATTTCCTCAAAGTGTACATACATACATTACATCTTACCTTATTTAAAATAATCATTTATGCAGGTCTGTCTTGCTTTTGGTTTCATTTTTCGAACAATGTTTTCTAGATTTTTTAGCTTCTCAATATGTTCCTCAGCTTCCTCGTGGTTTGTAAAAAAAATTCGTACGACATTTATTGCATTGAAGACTTCCACTTGGTTTACAGCTACAATCTCAGGATCCACAACTTGTGAAACAATTTCAGAAATTGTAGCTTGTTCGTTGGCTGCAACATTTTCCTAGAACTCGAGAGGGGTAATTGCCTTGTAAGGAAGTTAAATAGGCTTTTGCTAGAAAAGCGCTTCCCTTGCCTCAGATAAAAATGACCTTATATGCGATAATGGTTTTTAAAACTTGACCATATATCCGATAATCTGTAACAAAGAATTCCTATTCAGTGAGCCGGGACTTTGGAAAAGTGACCTTATATGCGGGTTGACCTTATATGCGGATAACCTTATATCGAGGTCTGACTGTATATATATATATACACACACACACGTACACACATTTTTTTCTTCCTATTACTCAATGAAAAGTTTCACTAGGCAGAGAAAACTTTTCCATACATTTGTCCAAATAGTACTAACGCAAAAGTTAAAAATATAGTTTCAGTTTAATTTGCGTTTAATTCAGTTTAATTTCATTTCAGTTTAATATAGTTTAGTTTAATAATTGCATTTCAGTTTAAGAAATCCAATTAATAATCAAGCTTTCAACATTCGAAAACATGCAGTAAACTAGATGGCATGTTTAGTCTTAAATTTTTTACGATTGAAAGATGCTAAAGAAATTGTCAGCAATTTTCAGTAGATATTATCAAAATGGTAAGCTGACTTCATCTTCATGGGAGCAATCAATCAATTAGAGTATGATTTCTGTTTGCTTAGCATAATTTCAATGGTTAATAAAAAAATGACTTAATTTATGCCTAATCACCAGGAGTTGAGTTAATTCTCAAGTTTAACTAAGTTAACTATTAACTAAGCCTGAAACTTGAAACAAAAGGAAAGGAAAAGAAGAAAAGTAAAGACTATAGAGGCATCTTGGTGTGGTTGGAATTGTGTTGTTTGAAAAAAAAGCAAGTATGTATATGTAAGTAGGTTGATATACTGACCAGCAATCGGATCTACAGCTTGTTTGGCCAATTTTCTCAAAGCAGCTGCAAAACTGGATGCCCGTGTTGCAGATAAGGCATGGTTGACATTCCCAGGAAATGGGGAAAATGCAGTATTTGGATGAGAAACACCTTGATGCACAGGGGACATCATATTGTGACTAACAGGCTTTGCAAGACCATAAGGAGCAGGTACATTTATGTGAGATGGGGATGGCTTTAAACCATGTGGAATTCCTATGAAGAAACAAATTTAAAAAATTTAAAATAAAATATAATGAAGGAAAAATGTAACAAACAAAAGGTAACCGTGACTAGTTGTTGATCTATAAATACTAAACATTGTTACTGATTAAAGAATTAAAACTGGTGTAAAACTTCTGAATATTTATTGAAATGTTTTAAAACACAATGGAAAGTAAAATAAAATGATGCATTTTGAAAAGAATGAGTTTCCTCTCAATAGGCATAGGATATAACATAGAAGTTTGTATTCTTAGCTGCCTGATGAAGGCAAGCTCATACCTTCCATAACATTTTTCACTTTGAAGGGCATAGTGTTTTAAGAAGCTTTAATAAATATTCATAACAAAAGACATTTACAAAAAAATTGTTAAAAAATACATGAGAAACATTTCTGTCACAGTATAGAGTATGTTAAGTTTCTAAAAATGACAATACATTAAAAACTGTTGTAAAACTGTGGTGCGTGATTAGAATCTTTATTATTTGAAAAAAAAATCAGATATCTGAATAAATTTGCATTATAATCATATAATATATATGCATATATAATCATAAACTATTATATGCTATATATAATTTTCACTTATTTTGACCTAAATTAATACATGATAATAAAAAAAGCATGAAAAATATGCTTAATAAAAATTCTGCATCAAAGGATTAAAATATTTTAAGTAAAATATTCCAACCTTTTTTTCCCAAAAATGAAGTTTTGAAAATATCAGTATAAAATGACCTTAATCCGCAAACCCTCAATATGTTCCAATACCAATGCTTTCCTTAAAATTCGGAATTTAAAATATTATCTTTAATAATTATGGTTTTAAAAATTTTATTAATAATTTTTGCAGATAAGTTAATTGCTATCAGTAATTATTTTAAATATTAAACAAGCACGTCAAATGAAAATTTATGAATCTCTCCCCGAAAAAAAAATAGCAAAAATAAGTAAAAAATGAATAAAATAAATATATGTAAATAATGAATATGAGTAATTCCGAAACAAAGCTACACACTATTATATTACAGGGAAGAAGATATTCAGTATGTAAAGTTAGTAACTTTTTGATAACAAATCTTTTAACCCTTCAGATGCAGAATTTTAATTTAACATATTTTTCATACTATTTTTATTAATTTGTACTAATTTAGGTCAAAATAAATGAAATATTTTCTACTTTGCAGTTATTTAAATCTAAGAGAAACGGTAATTCATCACTGAATTTTTTTTAATTTACATAATTAATTATTGAGAAATTTTTGAATAGGAATGAGAAGAAAAAAAATTAACACTACTTAATTTGGATTTACTGAACAAATTTAATACCGATAATCTAACAGATTTTTTAATTAACTATTAGACTGTTCCTTTTTATAATTAAAAACTCCAAAATATATTCTTACTTGTAATTAGAGTGTCAGAAAAAATATACATTAAAGAGACACCTATGTCCTATTTGTGTTAAAGGGTTAATGTTTACCTAAATATTAATATTTACATTACTTACCACAAAAATTGGAAGTTATGAAAATGTTATTTAATTGGAACAGAGTTCCGAACTCTCTCATAGGGTGCGTAGCCAAATTATTCAACAACAAAAAAAACACCTTTTAAGCACTTTTCAAGCACTCAAAAAAAAAAAAAAAAAAATTATGCACTTAAAAATATCATAATTAGGCATGGTCGGAAAGTTTTTAACAATTGACGGTTTTATCTTGCTTTTACCGTCATGTCAAAAAAAATAAAAATAAAAAATTATGGCATTGCTTTTGACAATTGTCAAAAGTCATGAAATTTGGAATCACGTAAAACGAATGGCGTTTTCATACGCTACGAACTGACAATACGCCGAAATAGATTGGGGTTGAATTAATTGAGAAAACGTTGGACAGAACAATGTGAACTGTGGCTTTTGCATAATTTGTAGAGAGAATCAGTATGGTAAAGGGAAAATCTCATTTTGAAAAAGGGAAAATTAAGCACTTTTTAAAAACACCCAATGAAAAAAAGCACCTTTAAGGGCTTTTAAAAAACGAAAATCGAAAATAAGCACCTTTAAGCACTTTTTGAAAACCCTGTCTCATACTTGGATCCCACTGCTTACTAAAACAATACTAAATAATAAAAAAGGGTGTTTAACAAAAAAAAATTTAAATGCAATCAGGGTTGGGTTTTTGACGTCAAAAAGTGGTTTTTGACATGACAAGGGTATAATACTGGTTTAAACCGTCAAAAACCCGTCTAAAACGTCAAAAACTGAAGTTTGCCAAGAAAATATATAAACTTCAAAGCTACCAACAGTTGCCATGCATTATATTGAAATTTAATTATACTATAGGTAATCAGCAGGTTTTAAAATATGTTTTAATTAAAATTAAGGTAAAATAACAGATTTAAAATCTCAGAAATTTATATTCAAATGCATGTGCAGAAAAATTTTGCACAAAAATTTTTTCAATATTTATATTTTGAAAAAAAAATTTTTTTTTTTGATACTTTAGAAAATTAGAAGTTTATTACTATGCATTTTTGACATATAAGGAACATATAACTAATATTTATAAGGAACTTACAAGTTATGTTGTATAAATACAAACTTGATACAAGTGTATAAAACATTTTTTTAATGTTATACCGAATATCTTTATTATCCAGTATGTTAATTTGAATTTAAAAGTAGTTATATTTGTGAATAATGATAAATATAATTCATATTGTTTATTATATTTATTTATAATTATTACACTTATCATTTTAAAACAATTTTTACCTCTTAATTTTTTTTCCCCACTTGTATTAAGAATACAAATAATGCATATCTTGAAAGCAAGAAGTAATTATTCAACAGCTGAATATTTAGATATTCAACAAAACTATATAGTATTCAGCAAAATGAAATTCACAAGTATTTGGATAAACTAAATTTTCAGCATAGTAAATGAATAGGCTGAATATACTGTAAATCGACACTAACTACTCTGTGTATTTAACAGAAAGCACTTAAATTTGTATTGTCTTATGTTAAAAAGATTATTAAGAAGATTTAAAAGAATATTAAAAAGATTTTTCTTTAAAAGATGTCTAATGTACAAAACTGCTAATGTTTATCTTTAAAAATGTCTAATTTTTAGTATAATCTATACTATACACTAAATTTGGTTATAAATAAATTTCTTAATAATATCACTGCAGATTTTCAATAACACATGAAAATGAATACATAATATTACAAAAGATGTGAGCTTTCAAAAGTACAAGATTTTGGTTACTATTCAAAATATAAGTGTTTCTTCAAAATTTTAAATTTATTTTTTCTAGAACATATTTAGAAACACTATCCTTTATAAAAAAAATAGATAAATTTTATGTATTAATTAAATTTCACATATAAATATAGATTTTCGACATTTTTGACAGTGAGGTTTTTGACGTGACGGTTTAAACCGTCAAAAACTGTCACATGTCAAAAACGTGCCAACCCTGAATGCAATTAACATTTGAAAGCAGGGCCAGACTATCGCTAAGGTAAAATTTGCCCTTACCAGGGCTAAATATTTCAGAAGACAGATATTACGGCAGAGAAATTCCTCCGAGGGCGTAGAGATTCAATTACATTTTAATCGAACGTTCTTTAAGTTTAAAGAACTGAAAGAAATATAAAGGAACAGCCATCCACACTCGAATAACTTTTTCCTCGATATCGAAATTCACATTTTTAGATACTTTTCTAGAATTCCAAATTTGGACAAAATAAATACATATAATATACTAAATAAAATGCTTAACTCTTAGAGAGAACGAATGATTAACGATACGTGCATCCTGTAAGCGGTTCAGTAGATGGCGACCTTTTAACAACATTTATTATCTGCCAGAAAAAGGAAACGTAAGAGAATTTCATAGCGGAACAGATTGAGAAGAAGCGATAGCAATCGGAGCGCAATGGACGGTGGGTTAAACCATTCATAACAGAAAAGCTCTTTTGATTAGCATAAGAAGATCAACGGGCCAGTAAGCCTTCCAAAGAATAATAAAGATGAGAGCTAAACGTTTTCACAGAGAGAGAGAAAAATGTTACTTTCGTCTCAGGTCACTAACTTGCCTTTTCGTTGAGGATTCAGTTGTTGGGAGTGAAAGTATACAAGATTCGATGGGTTTTCTTTTCCCCCTTCAATAATATATCATATAACGAACCTTAAACAGTGTATCTTAATTTACCGTAAGCATAAGGTACTCAAAAATTGTGAAATAAATTTTTTTAAAACAACTTTTCAATAATATATGATGCAAAAATTCTTGGAAAGCGTACCTTAATTTAACATTAGTAAAAGGAACAAAACTGTTTAATGAAGTTTCTTTTGTTTTTTTTTTAAATAATTTTTCAATAATATATGATGCAAAAATTCTTGGAAAGCGTACCTTAATTTAGCATTAATATAAGGAACTAAACTGTTTAATGAAGTTTTTTTTAAAAAAATTTTCAATAATATACGATTCAAAAATTCTCGGAAAGCGTACCTTAATTTTACATTAGTATAAGGAACTAAAATGTTTAATGAAGTTTTTTTTTTTTAAATACTTTTTTAATAATATATGATGCAAAAATTCTTGGAAACCGTACCTTAATTTACCGTAAGCATAAGGAACTGAAATGTTAAATGTTAAAGTTTTTTTTTTTTTTGGATGTATGATGTGATAAATCTTGGTCAGCGTATTTTAATTTAAAATAAGCGTAAGATCCAAGGCTGGACACAGGATTTAAGGGTCCAAGAACAAAATTCGTTGCGGGCTCTTTTCTCAAAACACAACCTAATTTTGATATTTTTTAAAAAGACTTTCAAATAATGATGCTTAAATTTCGAAAAATAAATTTTCTTAAATGTACTTAAATATAATTTCCAATTTTTTTCGAGTTTATTTAAACTAAAAACTAAATATTTGTTGATTCATATATTTTGATTAATGTGTACTAAATGAAGAATTTTGTTCA